CTTCGAGGCTGCAGGACATACACTGCATCAGGCCTGCTGGCACAATGCAGCCTGCGTGCTGGACGGCAGGGACCCGTGTGCTCCAGCAGCACATGGGGGGCCTGGAGCAGCAGAGAGCAGAAAGCTGCAGAGAGGAAAACCAGGAAGGAGGTTGTTACCCAGGGTGTGAGAAACCAGAAGATGGGGGGGCCTGGAAATGTGCCTTGGCTAGTAGAGCCAATGAAGTTATAGATATAGTGTGTGAAAGTAAATGTAACCAATAGAGAGTTAGAACAGAGCGTGTGAACCCTGCAGGACCCTTGATAATGGGTGTATTTCTGGAATAAAGTGAGAGCATTGCCTGTACCTCTAGGAGGATGTGTCTCTGACTCTCGAGCTCGTTTTTTGCATCTTCTCCTTTTATCTGGCGCCCGAAAAGGTGATCAAAAGCGCGGAAGGGCAGAAGAATGCGGATAGCCCATTGATGTCCGTGCGGTGGGACGCGGTGGGAGACGTGAGAGGCTGAGAGAAGCTGGACAGAGGCGTTTCGGTCGTGGGCCAGTCGGCGCGAACCGAGGGAGAAGGGTCGCTACCTTCCCCCTGGCATTTGCTGCAAGCACGGAATCGGAGTTTGCTGCAGCTAAAAAGCTGCTCTTGGCTATCCTTGCTAAGCGAGGGGAAACAGTAGCTGAGGTGTTTGACGAGCTTATTGCTCGGGCCTGTGGAAACGGTTTCTTTAAAGTGCCCCCTCTCCTTTTCGCCTTTGAGGAACGGCGGGCTTTGGGAGACAGACTTTGGGACTTGAAAACCCTCGCTGCTACTCCGAACCTTCTCGGCCGTGCAGTCATCCTGCTGAAGGGGGAGCGCGGCGCGGCCCGGCACACACTGCCCCGACCGAACCGGGTGCATTCGAGCCGTGGCCGCCGCCCCCCCGGGCACGATCGCGGTGCAGACGAAGCCCAGGGAGCCGCTCTGGCCGGAGAAGCCTCAGGCGCAGCAGAGCAGGGCGAGGCAGCGCCGCGGGGGGAAAGCAGGAGCACCCGAGAGCCGGCGGGAGAGCAGCCCGGCCGAGCGGGGCAAGGAAAACCGGGAGCGGCCCCAGAGGGAAACGGGGATGGAGCAACCCGGGCAAAGCATCGCTTCTTGGGGAGAAGGGGAGCGGGCTGGAAGGCTGCTTTCCGGGGGTCTGTTCACTCTCCTGGTGACTCTGGGGGCTGTCCGGTGGGGCGCTGCGGGCTCACGGGGTTGTTAAAAGCAAAATCTCTCTTTTTAGTCCTTCTACTCACTTGTAGAGAACTTAAACCCAAAGACTTGCGTTTACCTGCAAGCTCGCATGCAGACGGTTTTAGGGAGATTTTCCGGGAAATGAGTATTTGTACGAAAATCTTAGTGAAATGCCTTATTCTTAGCTGTATTTTACCCCTATAAAACCCTTCTGAAAAAACATCGTATTCAAAAAACAAACAAACAGAAAACAAACAAAAAAAAGCAAGCAAGGTTTTGACAAAAAGGATAAAAAGCCCTCTTGCAAAGCTTTGCCTTAGCAGAGAAAGAGATAAGGTGTTACTGGCTCACACAATAGAGATCGTTTGTTGCCGAGCAACTGAGTATTACACCTCCTCTGGCCAAACTCGGGGAAAAAAAAAAAAAAGGGGGGGTGTAGAACCCTCCTGCTTTATAGAGGCTGCAACTTTGCAATCTTCTGATTGGGGAAAGAAATATTTTTGCCTTACAGTTTGTGGGAGGGAGGGCAAAAAATCTAAAAACCCTCTCCCGTCTCGCTTTGAATCTCCCTGCCTACAGGATAGGGGGAGGAGAAGAGAAACACTGCAAACTGAAACCTGAGTCACATACCACAGTAGAGATTTAAAGAAAAACAAACAAACAAAAAGGTAGAGATAATATTAAAATTAATGAAAAGAGTCACAAATAAAAATGTATTCATTCTCAATCTGTCATTAGTAATTCTCATGAATAGAGGAGCCAATCTGTGGCTCCAGCGAGCTTAACCAGAAGCTGGGAAGATGATGCAGAATACAGTAAATTAAGGAAACTATTCTAGTTGCTTTTTCATTTTTTCTATTAATCGGGACAACAACCACAGCCTTTTATTAGTAACTGACAGCCAGCCACTTCGTACTATAAAACCTATATTCCTCTCGTACGGTCAAGTTACAAAAATTCTGAAATTTGAAATTCTTTTGTGACAATTGTTTAATAGTCTAGGCTCTATTTTGCAGAAATTCCACAGATTCATTCTGCAATCTGACCCCGTGAGATTAAACACTCCTGTTCATCTATTCCAACGTGGAGATCACATCTCCATTCAGCAGTAGGATGCTGCCCCCCTGTATGCTGACTGCAGAGAGATGGGGATTACCTGCAACCACGGCATAGCTGCAAGTGCCCCTGGCTGACCCAATGAAGCAGGAGCAGCTGGAGCCTATTCTGAGCTCTTCACTAAACATGGATATGGTTACAAAGAGATTATTGCCTACCCTTTTACTATTAGTCCTTTGTTGTAGATATTCTCTGTTGTTTTCCTTGGTTTTCATCACTATGCTGCTTCACTTGCTCCACAATGGCCTGGTCCAACCACAGCCCATGGGGGGAATGTATTTGTGCTTAACTGGATGGTGCAAGAGCTGAGAGAGGGGAACTTCGGCCCTGAAACAACCATCTGGTATAACTGGAGATTAATTGGCATTTTGCTATTAGTTGACAACTCTCCAAAAACATTTGACAGAAACAGTGAAAAAGAAGATGATGTTAAGACAGACCCCTGAGATACAGCATGCCACAGGCAAATCATATAAAGACCTGTCCTTGCACGGGACACTTAGCTCAAAGTCAACAAAGCTAAGCTTTTTATTTATGCAACAACTAACCTAACAGTTTAATTTCAGTACAAAAAAAAAAAAGGGGGGGGAGTGAGGAAAGATAAGTTCATGAAATGGTCTTGCTGACTGTTACTTGAGGTTGCTTGCCTAAATAGCCAGAATTGTTTTAAACATGGTGAAGAGGAGCTTTTGAAGTTTTTGTAGTGACTATTGACAAGTTCTCTTTGAAGTCCAAAAGCCCATTTGCATAGAGAAGTGCGTGTTTTGCTTTAAAAATATGAGTATATATTTATCTTTAAACTATAAGAATGTTTGTACGTATTTGGGTTTTGAATTGAACGTGAAGCAGAAATATGTTTATGTTTTCCAAGCTATACTTTCATAAAAACAAGAAATGCATAATTAGATCTTACTCAGATGAGGGCAAAACACAAGAATGATAATTTCTCAGTTCACAACCAGAAAACACAGTAAAATACAGCTCAAAAGTATGTTTGTGTGAGAGCATGAAGTGATGGCCATCACACATGAAAGTTGTGTGAATGTATGCATGTGAGTGTATGAATATATGATTATTAATATATTCTGGTTTTGCTCACAAATGCCTAAACCATATTACCTTACAGATGCATAAGCACCTTTGGATAAAGAGTGGGAGGCACATAACCCTGAGTTAAATGAAGTTTCATTGGCAAAATAAAAGTTCTCAAGAACGACATAGAACAAAGAGATGAACCAAGCAAAAGACCATCAGTCAGGCCTGGATTGTGCAAAAGAAAAAGGGGGAATAGCTGAGAAACTCTTCGAGGCTGCAGGACATACACTGCATCAGGCCTGCTGGCACAGTGCAGCCTGCGTGCTGGACGGCAGGGACCCGTGTGCTCCAGCAGCACATGGGGGGCCTGGAGCAGCAGAGAGCAGAAAGCTGCAGAGAGGAAAACCAGGAAGGAGGTTGTTAGCCAGGGTGTGAGAAACCAGAAGATGGGGGGCCTGGAAATGTGCCTTGGCTAGTAGAGCCAATGAAGTTATAGATAGAGTGTGTGAAAGTAAATGTAACCAATAGAGAGTTAGAACAGAGCGTGTGAACCCTGTAGGACCCTTGATAATGGGTGTATTTCTGGAATAAAGTGAGAGCATTGCCTGTACCTCTAGGAGGATGTGTCTCTGACTCTCGAGCTCGGTTTTTGCATCTTCTCCTTTTACATTTCTATTTTCATGGAAATATCACCTGTAAAACACAAACATATTTCTGCTTCATGTGCAATTTAAAATTCAAAGACACAGAAACATTCCTCTAGTTCCAAGGGAAATACACACTCCTATCTCTGAAGCCAAACACACATTTTCCCGTGCTAATGGGCTTTGGACTTCAAAGAGAACCTGGCAGTAGTCCCTGCAAAAAACTTCAAGAACTGTCAAAATACAAACCCTCTCCTTCTCCCCCCCGTTTGTGCTGCAGCTCCAACCACTTTGGGCCATTTAGGTAAACAACTTCCAAAACCAGTTGGTAAGGTTATCTCCTGAACTTGGCTTTCCTCACTCCCCCCCTTTGTTTTAGTAGTTTATTCACAGGAAAATCATCTCTTTCTAAATGTGTAGCATTCCAAGTTTCACTTGAAACAACTGTAAGAATGTCTTCAAAACACAGCTGGCACTTCAAAGGTGTATACAATTTAAGGCAAATGGCAAATAAAATAAGTACTGAGTGATACCAAAACCACACTGAGCTTAGGGTGTTCTCAAAAACCAGAGTCCACTTCCAAGTGAAGCTGTTGCTGCTCCCCTCCCTGGGCACTGTTCAAGGAAAGCCCAGCACAGGAAACAAGAAGTACCACAGGCTCCTTTGGAAACATCAAAGCTGCAATTCTGGAGTATCCCCACCAGGACAGTCCCTGGAAATGGAATTCAGCAACAGCTTTTAGGCACTCTCAGATTCACATTTATTGCAATAGTTCATGACTTTCTTTCTTAAATCACATCTCAGGATTTCCCTGAATTATCACAGTGGAGGAAACAAACCTTCTCCTAACGGGAACCAGCCAAGCCAATGGAGAAGCAAAGCTGACAGTGTGAGCCCACCAGAGCTCTCAGCTGCTCCGGGTCACCTGCCTGGGCACTGCAGATTTGGGAGCTCAGAGCTGGCTCTCCCTGCCAGGGCCGTGGCTGGGAGGGGGAGCAGTTTATTTAGAGAAGTTTCAGTGCAGAGATTTCACTTTCAGGAATGGTAAAAGTGGCCAAAGAAAGTCTTTCTGGCCCTTCCTGAAAAGCCCCAAGTCCTTGGGACTGCAGTACCCCTGTGCCAACGTGTGCCCAGCCAGAACAGCCCCTGGGAGCTGTGCCCACTGCTGACAAACCACTGCCCACGGGCACTCCTGCCTGGACAAGGGCAGGGCCAAAGCCAGAACAGCCCCTGGGAGCTGTGCCCACTGCTGACAAACCCACTGCCCACGGGCACTCCTGCCTGGACAAGGGCAGGGCCAAAGCCAGAACAGCCCCTGGGAGCTGTGCCCACTGCTGACAAACCCACTGCCCACGGGCACTCCTGCCTGGACAAGGGCAGGGCCAAAGCCAGAACAGCCCCTGGGAGCTGTGCCCACTGCTGACAAACCCACTGCCCACGGGCACTCCTGCCTGGACAAGGGCAGGGCCAAAGCCAGCCCTGGCCTTGAGGCAGAGGAGCACAAAGGAGGGCACACTGGGGAGGAAGCAGGGCTGGCACACACAGAACCTTCCCAGAACATTTCGGGGGAATGAATTCCTGTGCTCACTGCTGATTATTGCAAAGCTCCTGCTCTGCAAACTGGGCTTGCAGAACAGTTTCATCCCTTGTGGGTCATGAACAGGATCAGTTCTGGGCTCGGTCCCAAGGACCCAGGTTTGGTTCCAAATGTCACTCGGTCCCCCTGGGACAAGAACAGTGGCACACATGGACTCAACAGCCCTGCACAAGGCCAGGAGTGGGGGGGAAATATCCTTGAGAGCACTGCTGCATTTCAAAAAGAAGTCAGTCACATCAACTCTGTAACAAATAAAAAAGAGAAGCCAAAATAAATAACTGTAGACAGGGTACTAAGCACCTTGAGAATACCAATAAGAAAAAATAAGAATAAAGGCATCTGTTTGAAGTACAAAGAGTTTGGGAGACACCATTTGTTTGCCATGAAGCCTTTTTGTCAATTATTTTGTTGGCCCTTCTATAGTTAGAATACAAACCTTACCCTGCCACAAAAAGCAGAAAACCTCTTCAGAGAGTTAGGAGACAGAGTCAGTTTGGATTAATGGGTAGAATATCTCTGGAGACAAAATAAGGCAGAGAAAATAACCCCATCCTCAGCAGCAGAGCTGCCTCCCCCCTGCCTGCCCCTGGAGCCAGGGGAAGCAGCAGAGGGAAGCAGCTTCCTCCAGCCCAGGAACTCTCCTGCCAGTGGCTGCAGCAAATCCCCAGCTCTCGAGGCAAACCAAATCCTTCCAGCCAGCAGCCTAAGAGACAGGGCAGGGATGGAGCTGGCTCAGGGCAGCAGCCCTGGCAGAGCTGGGCTCCAGAATGGAACAGGAGAAGACCCAGCAAATCTCACAGTAGTTTGCCTTTTCAAAGGCACACCCAATTCCAGAGACAGAGTTCCAAAATTGGGATTCTACAGAAGAGACAAAGTTACCTTGACTTGATGACTTGTTTATTGATGGAGAGGCATGACCAGATTGCTCACAGACCCTTAGGATGGGCAATATGTCCATTTATTATCTCAATCAGTGAACTTTGACACAGTTTAGTTTGTTTGGGGCACATGCTCCCAACAAGGTGATGGGATAGCTCAGTCTGTGCACACGTCTCATGGCCCCAGTTCATTGGACCTGATGTTCTGTCCACACCCTCTGAAATCATCCTTGGCATAGAAACCTCTTTAACTAATCTGCTTTTAGAGTTTTACTAAATTTGCAGGTGTTTCATTATCTTCAGTTTCTCAAGGTTTTCTTACTATAAACATCTTACGTTCTCAAACCTTATCATTAGACACCCAGCTAACAAGTACCAACATCCCAGATTTTCACACAGTCTCTGAGTATAAACAACACACACCTGTCACTCCCATGGCAAGCAAGGCCTAGAGAGGGCAGGAAAAACTGTTCAGAGAAATCTCTCTGTTCCGGCCACAGTTCCCCAGTTCTGCTTTGAACAATTCTTACTGCACTCCTGCAACATTCCTCCTCATACCTACAACATATTACCAAACACAATTACATACAATAATACCACTGCCACTAACAAACTTAACAACCTTTGATCCCAGAGTTTGTGCTCTTAACTCTGTGCTTACACATGTTCCTAAATATAGGGCTTATCCTTGAAAGCTTTTATTCAATCTAAAAACACTTCTGCAAATGGAGCTTCATTCAACTTGGGGTTGTGTGTGGTCTGTTTTTCTTTAGGGTGTTTGTGTCCAAGCTGTTTGTGTAGCTGTTCATACATTCCCACACACACATTGCTTTCATTCCTTCACTTGCACACGGTGGCCACCATCAAACAAACTTTCACTCAGACACACTTTTCAATTCCATTGCACTGGGTTTTATCAACTAAGAAACCATAATTATTCTCTAGTACCTTATAATGTCAAAGTTTCCCAACCAAACAGATAAAATTAACCAGATAGATTAACTTTCCCTTACTAATACTTAGTGAGTAATCCAAAGGTCATTCAATACATTACACTGAAATTCTTACCCTCTATAACTTATATACCTCTTAACTTCTAAAACTATGTGCCTTAAAAGTACTAAGAAATTGTACTTTAATAATATTGAAGAGACTGTTAGCTACAACAACTTCTGGTGTTGTCACAGTCACCTGCAGGAACCTCATCCAGCTTGTTCTGAAGAACCAGCTTCTTCCCAAGGCCTCCTCCATCGTGCAGATACCCAGAGAGCACCTGTGTGCAAAAGACTCCAACCCATGAAACACTTCTGCAGGGCAATAGAAGAGGGCTGTCCCCCTTCTCGCTTTGCAAAGTGTGCTAAGAACTCTGGAATCATCAATCTCTATAACCTTTATGCCAATAACAACAAATCTGTAACAGTTCTATTTCAGAACAGAGTATGCTACATCCTACCCATACACTACTAACCACTCTGCTCAGATGATAGGTTAACCTGTGCCAACATTCTGCTGGCATGTTCTCATCTGGGTCAGGGGGCACTGATGACCTGGGGCACCCGATCCATTCCCGCTGGTTCTGGGAGCTCCTGCCGGGCTGGAGGAAAGGCTGCAGCTGTCTCCTCAGCACGTGCTGCTTGTGCTGCTCTGCTGATGACACCTGCAGCTGGAAAGGACAGAAGGGAAGAAGTACAACAGAAGGTCCATGGGTAAAAAGAAAAGAATTCCTAGAGATCATTTAGGCCCACAGTGAAATGCCATTTGCAAAAGCAAAGTCACGTATCAATATTTGCTTTGGGATGTACAGTAAAACTCCAGAATTTCCTAACAATAAAACAATAGGTTTTGTTAAAGCTGAGGAACTGTTCATTGAAAGAATGAAACTAGAGGATTGAAGAACTGATAAAAATCATATCTGATTGCACTGTAAAAAAGAAAGTCTTTTCTGCAGACTTAATTACTCTCAGCAACTCTAAAATTTCAATAAGTCTCGTTGGAAAATGTGATACAACCTAAGCAGCTCTTCTGGCTTCATCTTCTAGAACTAGTAAGATTTTGGATTTTGTCTCACATAAACAAACATCACAAATGTTTGCTCTACCATTTTACTTGAATTATCTGTTTTAAATTACCATAACAAATATTCTACTGTTGCCTATTTGACACAATTCATAGGTATTGACACTATCACTCTATTTTTGTTTGCTATATTTATCTTGTCTACAATATGCATGAGAAACTAAGAGAAAATTATCAACTTTTATCCTTATCCTTTTTTTTGTCTTAAAACACAAACAAATCTCCCCTGTTTATAGTACATTTATCAGCCATCCCTGTGTTTGGGCTGTAGAATTCTCTCTCTTACGTGTATTTTGTTTGGTTAAGGATGATTCCCTGTGGGATGAGACACAATCCATTATCATTTAACTTACACAGAAAGTACTCTATGGAGATTGGATTTTGTGCTGTGAGCAAAAAAAGGGCATTAATCTCTAGGGTATTTTGTGACAAAGTACATTTTTCTATCACATTGCAAATTCCATTTACCCAGGATAGATTGCAAAGCCAACACTTGCTAATAATCCATCCTAGAGGCGTACAAATAGTAGGAACAGATAAAAGGGGAAAAGGAAGGCATTGGTTGCTTTAAGAATGTTTAAGGAAAAGTGCAGAACACTTGCATCTGGTATTACAATGATTTTGATTGCATTGATCACAAAAAGGTTGGATTTCTTCCGAAGGCTTGGCCTGCAAAGAAAGGCTGGAGAAGACGGGGGCAAATCTGTCTTAGCAGAAAGAAGCAGCAGTCAGAGAGGTGACTCTTCTCTCCCCAGAGTATTTAGATTTAGACAAGAGAGTCCTAATTACTCTTTTCAGCCCATATTCTGAAATGCTGATGGATGACACATGCAAAGCAAAGCAAAGCAAAAGTCCCTGGGAAAGGAGTGAAGAACCTTCAATACACATGCATTTGTGAGGGTAAAATCAACAAGAATACTGAGCATTCTCGGCTTAAAATCTCTAGAAGGCAAATGAATCATACTAGCTAATAAGTTAAAACTATAACAGAGAAAGAAATATTTTCTTTACCGATGAAGTGATCAAAGATTGCAAGAGTGAGAGTTTTTCTCACTCTTTATTAATTCTGCATATGCAGATTGCAAGTAGATGCTAACAGTTGGCAAAGAAGGCAGTTTCATGTTAGAGCTGTCATGGTCTGAGATAGCCCCAAAATCCAATTCCCTAGTCCTAACCCCCTGTCACCTCTCAATCCAATGTGAGATGGGTTTTTTTCCAGAGAAAACACCCCAGACTCCAAATGGGGGAAAGGGAATATATCACAATGACTATACAAATAAATACTACAATACATGACATACAATCTTAGCTATCTCTACCATGACATAAGTGTCTACAATGGACCAGATCTCTTCTCCCCTCCAAATAAAAGTCCAGGAGGGAAAGAAGGACAGATCCCTTCCAGTCTGAAGGCAGGAGCATCCTCTAAGGCAGCAGGTTCTCCTCATCTCATCTGTCCTCCGTGCAGCAGTAACTGGGTTGTTGGAGCTGGATCTCTGTTCCATACACACGAGGGGGTCTCCAAGCCCCTCGGCTCTCCTTCGGTCCAAGTGAAGGCCTCACCCGTGGGCTGCCAGCAGGGACCAGACTCGTGTCACCACAGGGATGTCACGAGATGCGGGGGCATCTTCGTCAAAGTTCCTTCCTCAGGGGACTCACCCTGAGTCAGAACATCTTGGGCAGCTTTCAGTTGCAAGCCTTTGCCTCAAGAGTTCTAGCAGAGCTCCTGTGCCCTGTCTCAGGCTGCCAGGCTTGGCAGCAGCAGGGGGGGCCAAGGTCAACTCGCCCCACATTCCATCTGGCCGTCCCGGTCCAGCTCCGGGACGCTCTGAGCTTCTCAGCTCCTCTCTCTCTCCGGTGCTGCGTGTCCAAAACTGCTCTCCAAAACAGGAGTCCATCTCCCTCTTTTTCTCAGAGGGTCTCAAGGGAGTTTGGGGGTCTGGTATCAGTCCTTACCCCAAACTCTGTCTCTCTGCTGCTAGCTCGCTTTTCTTCGGACAGCACTGTCTCTCCTGCTTTGCTGCATGCTCTGGTGCTGCTTCTTCTCTCTTCTGGCTCTGTGCCACCGTTTCTCCGGGCAGCGCCGGCTGCCGCTACTGCTCTCAGTGAAGGAACATCTCCAGGTTCAGCTACAGACACTTAGTCCAGCTTACCACTGCTCCAAGTCTCTGCAGCCCCCCCCGCCAGGGGCTGGGAGGCCCCCGAGGGCCCAAAGGGCTCCGAGCCCCTTCCTCGTGGTCTCACAACAACCAAACCACAACCCTTCTCTTCCGGTGCTTGGGACATGCTTTCATCTTGCAGGAGCCCCCGTTGGGCAGAACTTCAAAACTTCCAGGGGTTTCCACCCCTGGGGGTCTACCACTTCTCTTGGCCTCTGGGGGAAAACAAGGTCCAAAGCACTCCAGAGCACTGCCCAAGTATTCCTGAGACTGGCAATATGACAATGGAGCTGCATTAAATGCTTCAGTCACAAACCTATTGCCTAGAGCAGCTTACAGAAAGACCAATGTGTACTATCCACAGCTCTAAAAAGCAAAGTGTTATTGCCCTGGCAGAGTTAAATTGAAGCAATTTTGTACATAAGAATGATGCACTGATTTAAAATTATCACTTATTAGTTTGTTCTTGTTTCACAACAATGCCGTATCTATGGGCAAAGGAGGCTTCGGGCTTGAGGAGATGCCTGAACTATCAATCCCATAGGATTAGCAATTTTAAATGAAGAAAAAAGTTGCAAGAAAAGGTAATTTCAGGCTTCGAAAAGAACTTTCATTGATTTCCAAAGTTTGGACCCCAGAACCATCAGTTCAGAATCTTACCCAAATGGTGATGTCACCAATGCATTTTAAAGCAGCCTTCAATTAGGTTAAATAAAGAAAATAGAAGCCGATGAAGAGAGCTCAGTAAGAGTTTCTATTTCTAGATAAAGATTGTTTTAAATGCATAATCAAATTTGCTAATTGTAAGATGTGATACACATGGCCCAGTTAATAGGCAATTAGTGAGGGTTTTGTACTGCTCAGGATGTTATTGTGAACAGTCAGCACAAAGATAATGTTATAAAAGAGTTGGTCTATAACTTTGACTCCTCACTGAAAAAGGACATATTTTGCATCAGTCCTACTCGGTAACATTTGCTCTGGGCTGCCACAGCATTTGCTTTTCTTATAAAATGTTTCATCTGCCTAAATTCCAAAAATCCTTTGTCAGTTTTCTTAGCTCAAATGAGCACACAAGCAAGGGAAGCACTCAGGGAACATTTCTGATGTTTACACTCTCTCAGTCAATGGTGCTGTAACTTAAGTCTCAGCTTAAGCCATAACAAGGTCTTGAAGAAAGCTCAATTGTATGGGTGTGGAAATCTGGAGCAAAGAGAGAAGAAACAAAAATTAGGTTAGTCTAACTGTTTCTTGTAAAGGACAAAAATATCTTATTCTTCCAGACCTCTTTCTCACTCAATCACAGGGAGATGTGCAGACTGAAACTTGATCAGACAGAAGAAGGGTTAAGAGAGCATTGATTCCATGTTTATGCAGATTTGTTCATCTTAGCTGAAATGAATTCTGAGGTCTTTTTGACATGAATAAGGTAGAGTTTGATAGAATTCAGCAGTCATTTGAGTTTCAATAAGTAACTTTCTGTCTTGTCACTTCACTATCTAATCTTAACAGCATTGTCATCTTACCCTGGCACAGCAGGTCGGTTCTTTGATATTAAACTAGCAAGTTAAACAAGGAGCACAAAAACTAAGCCCTAATATTTCGTCTAAGGGTCTAAGAATTGCAAAGCTTTCTCAAATAGCTAAAGACCACTACAAAAATCATGCTATGAAGTTAAAGGGGAAAAGGTCTTTTTGCAAAAAAATTTTTTTTTTAAAAAGAAAGCACAAGAGAATTATGTTTTCTCAATCAGAACAAAATTCTATCTCTTTGTGGCTTCTGTAAACTAGACTTATCTTTCCCTACTCATTCTCATTAGACATGACATTTGAAAAATAGACACAACAAATAGGAATGTCTAGAGATGTCCAAATCTGGGAAGTGCACATGGTAAAGTACCACACTAAAAGACCTAGAACACTGCAGTGCAAGGACCAGTACAGACTCTTACAGACTTCAGTGTCTCTAGTTTATACAAGCATTCTTGCTACTAGAATCTCAGATAGAGTTTAAAGAGCTAAGAGAAAAAAAAAAAGAACAAGAAAAAAATGTCCTTATTTTTGGAGATAATGCTTATTCTTAAAATGTTGTAACACAAATGTAGTATAACCTGATCTTAACCCATACTGAGTAATTATAGGTTTAGCTTCGTACAGCATCTTCTCATTTCATGTTGAATGGCTCCTGTTGTCTCCCCCATCTGTTCGAACTGGGACTGCGTCAGGAGTTCACAACTACAGTTTTCCTTTAGCAGAGCATCTCACAGAACCTCTTTCCATCTCTGCTCCACACTGCTCACTGTCGCCAGCCCCTGATCTGCAAACAGCAGAGACACAGCAACACGACCAATGTGATCAAAGCAAGGTCCAATTTATTCTTTCAATCAGTTCCCTTGGATACAGTTTAGTTTGCTCAGGGTACATGCTCACAATCAGAGGATTGCAGAGCTCAGGCTGGGCACGTGTCTCATGCTCTCAGTTTATTGGATCTGAGGCTCTGTCCATGCGACCTGAAATCATCCTTGGCATAGAAACCTCTTTCTAACTAATCTGCTATGAGGGGTTTTTCCTAGATCTGCAGGTGTACTTTTATCTCTAGGTTCCCAAGGTTTTCTTACTATAAACATCTTACGTTCTCAAACCTTATCATTAGACACCCAGCTAACAAGTACAACCATCCCATATTTTCACACAGTCTCTGAGTACAAACAATACACACCTGTCACTTCCATGGCAAGCAAGGCCTAGAGAGGGCAGGAAAAACTGTTCAGAGAAATCTCTCTGTTCCAGACACATCTTACCACACATGCAGAGGGAGCAATCCAGAGTCCAGCCCGTCCCACCATTCCCAGGGAGGCAGTTCAGGGGCTGCCTGGGGCTCAGGGAGGAGTCACGGGGCTTCTCTTCTTCCTTCCTGCTTTCCCCATTTTCTCCTGCAAAAGCAAAGCTTTCTTGGCTTTCCTTGCTCAAGGAGATGCAGCCAAGGCCATCTTTGCAATCTAATCCTGGAAACTGCTCCAGGTTGTCATTTCAGGGGTTCTCTCAGGTCCTGCACTAATCAAGCCCCTTGGCCATTGGTTTCTTGGCAGGTTCTTACATTCACCTTCTACAAGCAAACCAGGAGGAGCAAATTCAGCTGTTCCTGCAACCAATCCAAGCTGCCATTCTGATTTTAAAGGATACTGGCTTGGCCTTACCAGGAGAGATCCCACACCAGGGGTAATACCTACAGGTTCTGCCCTCTTCCACTCTCCTGGAGTTCCACTGGCCCACACCACAGGAACAACTGCTGCTGCCACTTCAGTCGGGGCCTTGCTGCTGACAGGAGTTATTCCCTGCACAACAAGAGCTGCTGCTTGGACACATTGAGTTTCAGCAATTACAGTGTCAATAGCCCCAGTTTTCAATTGCATTTCTGCCTCAACTTCTCCAATCCATCTCTTCCTAGCACAGGTTTGGGTGAGTTTGGCAAAAAGAGAAACTGAGGAATCA